CCTGTCAAAAAAGCAACAACAATTATTCATTATTTCAAGTAATACATTTATAATGCATGTTACAACTTAATGTTATTTCCCTTTGTTGCTTAAAGAAACGCCTATTGAAAATTTATACAACTCAATCCAAAAAATGACATAAAGCATCATTTAGAATCAGTTAATGTAGCGTTTCACAGTGTAATCGATCAGGTTTTGAGACTTCGGTAAGTCATGATCTTGATAGGTCATCTAAGATACCTTGACTTTAATGTTTTCGACAGATCATCTAAGCACAGCGTTTCTCAACCTTTTCGATACAATGGACCAGCTCGCTACTTCCCTAAACTGCTGCTGACCACTAAAATGCAAGTACAACAAAAAACCGTTACGATTTGCAGGTGAATATTCTGTCAGTTTTTGTTTATTTGTTTTCGTGAAATCCCGCCGACTGGCGACGGTCCGCAGACCGGTGGTTGAGAATCGTTGAGCTAATATACCTTGATCTTACTCTTTGGAAAGATCATTTAACATACTTAGATTTGAGTTATTTGAATAGGTCATCTAGGATGCATAGATTTTATTGTTGTTGCTTTTTTGACAGGTTTTCTAGGATGCATAGATTTTAGCGGCTCATAGAATGGCTACTTGCTTTTTTTTTTCAAGAACAAACTTTTAGCTCATAACTTCATCTCTTGAATGACTTGAGATCTAATTATAGCCGAGGATATTGAGGGTTCCCTCTTGTTACCTCTTGTTTGTTTGTTTTTTTACAATAGCGATGATCTACCAATTATCTTTTCCAATACAAAAATAATATCAAATGTTCTTAGCTCGTGTAAAAGATTGAAAACCAATTATACGAAGAGCAGTGTATAAATATCGGGTCAATGACGACGTACTAGCAAAATGAAACGTCGTCTCTAAACTCCACTAAAACCTATCACCTTAATACAAAGATTATTAGTTTGTTAAATGACGATTTATGTCTTACCGGTCTCTGTTAACTTACGAGCGATTCGTTTTGGAGCCTGGTACCTCTTCGATATCTTAACAGCTCTGCTAAAATCTTCAGCTAATTTTAATTATCCACACATAACTTTTTCCCTGGTGGACCGCATTTTTTTTGGACTTTTTGTCTTTGAAAATATTTAGTGTAATAAATACTAAATAATCGTTAAAAAAACCTTTATATGCCGAATACATTACCATTGAAAAAAAAAGAAAGTATTAATCCAATATATTCAAAGCAGATAGTAATCATCCTGCAATTTAGTAGTAATATAAAAAGACTAAATTATGCGTAAATACTAGCAAAATATTACAGGATTAGTAAATCTGAGCTACATCTCAAGAAATATCATATAAAATCAACTTAGTCAACCAGAATAAACTTAACAACCTGCAGAAGTAAACAGCGGTACAACCATAGTTTTTTACTTAAATGTTTACATTTAATTTAAGCACTTGGCGAAGAAAAAGAAACAAACATTAATTATTTTTTGTAAGAAACTTTAAGAAATACACCTGTAGGTTATCTAAACCAAAGCCTAACTACTATAATGCATCAGCCGGTTTTCCTAGCGATATACAAGCCTGAATATTTCATTTTGAACATCCCCAAACGCTTGGCCAAATCCTTTTTTTTATAAAGGGGGCGCTGTGTTTTAACTGCATGCGTTTATACGTAATTTATTGTTTCGGATCGTCAAAGAGGGTGATTTCTGGTGGTCACTATGAAAATTCCCGCAGCAGCAATTTTTTAAAGCTGAAAAAAAAAAAATATATATATA